CTGTGGATGCAAAATAACTATGTTAGTGATACATGCCCAGCATATTACAGACCGTCTGAGCGTGCATCATCTTTCTGTGATAGCTGTCTGCTGGGTGAGAAGGAGCTTCCTAGCAATTTCTTCTCCGAGCCCCAGAACTTCATATTACAGCTCAGGCGGCTGATGCGTTTGATCGCTGCTTTGACAGGCACGTTGCCTCTTGCTTCCGACTGGGCATCGTTGTGTGCAAGTCTTACGTCTTACCAACCAAGGTCTTACAGACCCTGTTCTTGTCATATCATCCTTTGTGTTAATAGCATCCTGGTCCACACGGCTGTTCATGATTTAATAAAACTGGGCAGAGGTTTTGAAGAAGTTACATATTCTTCATCACTCATATATGCTGAAAAAGTACTTACTAGCATTATACGAAGAGACAACTTGGACACAACTTAACATAGCTGTGTTCTACACACCCTCTTTCTCAAGCCTCATCTCTCTATTCTGTCTTCTGCTGCAATACTTTTTCAGATCGTGTTTGTCTTGAGTAAGCTAGTGAAATGTGAACGACTGGTGAGTTTTATCATTTGGTTTTATGTGGTGGTTGTGTGGAGTGACAAGGAACTTAATTGTCCCACTGTAACTGAGCTTGCTGCCCAGCCCATATCACAAACGTGAGCGAAGGGAGAATTCATTACTGCAGAAAATTAAGGAAGTGATGATGGAAATACCACATGATTTTTTTGAATTACAGTGTAGTGTAATGTTGCTGTTGACAAGGGCATCATAATCTCTTCAGCATACAACTTCTGTCAGGGATTTATAACTCCAAAGAAATTTGTCTAGACCTGAAACTTGGCATCATCTCATTTAACCAAGTCCTAAATTGTTGTCATAGACACTTTAAGGATTTGTGTGTGTGGTGGGTGATGATTCCCATGATAAGTACAGTTATTTGCCCTTCAGACGTTATATCTGCTTTGGGGAGTGGCCTTGACACAAAAAGATAACAAGGATTTAAAGCAAAAGCAGTCTATATAGAAGATACTGAGAAGAAAATAAAAGAACTTTTAAAAATGAGATCAGCCAACAACACTGGATTTCTGGGTTTATAACTATAGAAAGAGACTGCAACACCTTTAGTACAATTCCTGGGTAAAACGTGTCTTTTCAGTAACAAACACTAAATGGCCCAAGATGTTTGCTGCGGGCAGCACATTAGCACTTGCCACTCTTCCTGCTGTGAACGAGCCTGCTCTTTGTCTCAGCTATTTATGAACTGAATTTAACAACTACAGCACTGGTCAGAAAGAATTTGTTCTAAGATATTCATATTGGTCTTTCCTCGTTGGCTTCATAAAACGTTCATGTAAGCTGGCCATTCTGTGGTGGAGATATTAAAGTGTGGCAGCAATACAGATGCAACAGCATTCATGTAGTCCTTCTTATACAGTTTTCAGAGGTTTCATTCGTAAGGGATTCAACGAGGAAAGAGACACTAAAAAAAAAAAAAAAAAGTTTCTGGTTGTTTCATAAGAAAAAATACCTAGCAGACAGGATGTAAATGCATTATTTTCAAGATCAAAGAAGAGGTAGATATTTTTGTAATGTGCTTTTTAACGCAATAACAATCTGATAAAGCTGGCTTTTCCTGATTTCTTGTGTATGGTTGCTTGAAAGAGTATTTATCATTGAGTTGATACATCTCTCTAAACATTATCCCCACAAGTAAGTGGAAGTGTAGAAATGCACATCATCTTGGCTCTGTCCAGAGTTGACGATCCCCTTTGCTGTGCCTTTGGAATGGCTTTAGTGCTCACTCAGTGCACATTCTGGCATTTTGCAGTTCCTCTTTTATATTTATGATAAAACACATATTTAACAACAATTAAATGTTGAAACAGCTTGCTGGCAGATGGGATGGGTTTTCTATCTCCTGAAGTTTTCAAAAGTGTCTTTCAAAAGTATGTTCATTTTATGGTTTGTGTTTAAGACTGAACTAGAGTATCATAGTGGGGTTTTTTATTAACTTCATAGTTATCCATGTTCCTATTGTCTGTTTTCTTGTTATTCTTTATGTAGTGTTTTCTTCATACTTCTAATTTCTACCTAAAATTACTTTTAATATGTAATCTTTAAGTCACGCCTACTTTCTTAACCAGCCAAATCCTAAATAGAACTGGTAATTTAGATTATGTGGCACAAATGACTTGTGCCTTGAGAACCAGGAGACCTCTTTCTAAAATCAGTGTTGGCATGGCTAAATACCCTGTGAGCCCTAGTCTCAGCAACTTTGTGGTAAATTGTTCTGTGTCCTTAGAGTGAAATAATGAACTTAAAAATATCAAGAGAAAAAGTGAAGGTGTTAACTGGGGCTGATCTTACATTCTTTAACACAAAGATGTGTGTTGCTAAGAAGATCCCGTACTCCAAAGACTGGTCTCAAATATAAAACTGAATTGAATATTGATTTTTATTTTAGTTCATTTAGCTGATTGTGGGTTTGTGGGTTTTTTTTCTGGAATGAAGTAGCTGGTTTTCGTGCTTTGTATGAAGATGGAATTGTTCAGGTACTAAGCTGTGGAACATGGTTACTACTCATCTGCATTAAAAACCATTTAAAGAACTTTGTATGAATTTTTATTATGTGCTTATGTGTAGATTTAAATAACTTTTATTAATACACTTAGTTGAACAATAACATTTTTTAAAAAATAAAAAATACAGAGAAAAGTTTACTATGGATATGCAGTGGTCAACATTTGTAAGCTGAGCGAGATTAATATTTGCCATGCAGCTGCATCTGAAAAAATGCTGTAATTCTTGTTCTATGGGTAATCTGTTAATGGTTTATTTGTCGGACTAAAGCTGTTTGTTAAATGACTGTAGTAATTCTAAAGTCAAAATTATGTGTTTATGGAATACAGTAATGATTTGTTTTGCTTTTAAAGGACAAAACACTTGCCTTCAATTTCTAATGAAAAGCAACATGAAATGGAGTTGGACAGTTGAGGTTACTGGGCAGTTGTTATTATCTAGTAGTGACCTCTGTCATTGATGGTTTGCAAACTAATCCCTCCATCAACAAAACAGGAGGAAACAGAGTGAAAGGACAGATAAATTGTTTGAAAATTGGTTGGCTCGGTTTTCCAAAGAATATTAATATATCACTTGATGTCCAGTTGGTGCTTGGTAAGCAGGGATCAGTTAAGCTTACTGCACCAGGGATCAATTCTGGAGCTAACATCATTAAGTATCTTCTTTAACAACCTGGATGAGGAGACAGTGTGTTCTGCTTTGAGAAATCTCGAGGTGATGCACAACCATGGGGGAAGAGGTTGACCTACTCCATTGCAGAGCTGCACCTCAGAGGGGCCCTTGCAAACCTGAGGGCTGGGCTAACAAAGTCCTAGAATCACAGAATGGCCTAGGCTGGAAGGGACCTTAGAGATCATTTAATCCAACCTCCCTGTCATGGACAGGAACGCCTCTCAACTAGATCAGGCAACACATGGGGACTGAGCGGGGATCGGACCTGCGACCTTGTCCATAATGTTCAGCCAGAATGGTTTTGCAGGCGTGACTCAGCTGGAATTTAGGGGCTAACATATAGAGAAATTTGGACTGCGGGTGGAAAATTGATTTGCAAAATGTATACAATAGCTACGCTGGAAACGTGTGCCTCAAGTATGGACTCTCTTGACCGTTCCTGGACTGCCTGACAGTCATAGGCGAGGGATATTTGTATGGCTCTACAAGGAAATAGGATCTGTAAATTGGTATTGTATAGAGCAAGATAGTCTTTCAGTCGACAATAGGCTGTTGCATTATATCAATGCTTTCTAACAGTTTGCTCTCTTCAGAGAGCTTCAAAAAGCTAAATTCTACTTTGCCATTAGAGTAGGTTCATCTATTATGTGGCCTCAATAATGTTATCTGGAGGTAAGTCTTAGAGACAGAAAATGCCTTAAAACGTCAAAATGGAGGGATAATGTAGTGGTGTGTGTGTCAGTCCAATATCCATCACTGTGAGAGGTTTAATACCTTTATCTTCATTTTATTCTAATTGATGAGTAAGTCTGATGTTTGAAAAGCTCTAAATTACAGATGCTTATGTGATGAAATAGCTATTGTCAAAGTATGGAGGAAAGCGGCACCCTATTGTTGCAGTCTGTTAAAAATGATTTGTTGAAAATTGACTTTGAATGTTTGTACTGGAGGTCAGAGTTCCCTTTAGAAGGATCATACTTCCATAGAAATATCTAGAAGCGCCACAGATACGCTTTGCTATTAAAGGAATGATTTTGATATAAGTACTTACCTGGCAGTGCTTTTGATTCATTAAAATGGTAAAAATAAGTGGAGCAAAACAGCTGGGACAATTTCTAAGTAAATTCATCAGTCATTCAAGAACTATGCATTTAAAATACCTATAAATAATAGAATGCTCCATCTAAATGGAAGCCTTTTATTGATGTGTAAGTACAGTGTCACCCTGAAATTTCTTTTTTAACTTATCGTTTCCTTGTGTTTAGAATCAGATAAGGCAAGGTATATTATTTCTGCTTTTTCAACCTCATTGTAACAGCATTATTTCGTATGGTGTGTGAAATGAAATTGCTCCACACAGTTGTTAAGCTTTAAAATTACTTGCAGGTAAGAAATAATTGTTTGGGAAACTCTGCACTTTCGCTCAATTTTTTAATATTATCTTAGGGACTGACAAAATAACGACACAGCTTTTTGTGTTTTGCCATTGGCACTTGTAAATTCCCTTTATTCATATTTTTACAGTATATTATTATTCCCTTCAATGTCTTCTTTGCCTTTTGACGATGTTCATGGGACTGCTGAAAAGAAGACAGCACGATGGAAATAAGAGCGAAACACTGAGAACCCAGCTTTTGCTTTTGGTTGTATATGCTTAGTTCTGCCAGGCTTGCGAAGAATAATCAAAGTGTTTACGTACACATCCGGAGACAAATAGAGTCTTCTTAAATTTTGTTTTAATAGATAAAAAGATGGCCTATCACAAAGTGAACGTGGACCAGAGAGCACAGGGACACTCTCCGTACCTTGACAACGATGAGCTCCAAGCCACGGCGCTGGAACTGGAATGGGACATGGAAAAAGAGCTGGAGGAGCCTGGCTTTGACCATTTCCGACTGGATGGTGCCGTCCAGCATCACCTGGGAAACTCACAGAGCCCTGACCTTGATCTCGAGCCCATCCAGCCTTCATCTTCTCCAAAGGGAAGATTCCAGCGGCTTCAGGAAGACCCTGACTACATCTCACACTATACGAGACAGGCACCGAAGAGCAACCGCTGCAGTTTTTTTCAGATACTGAAAGTATTTTGCACTGCTTTGATTTTATTTATTCTTGGAATTGTGATAGGATATTATGCACGCAAGAAATGCCCTTCTCCCCCATCATCTCAAGAACCAAATAACCCCCATATCTACCATGAAATCCTCAAGGAAATCAAAGCTGAAAATATTCAACAGATTTACAGGTATGTACCTTGACATGTTTTTTTCTAACTGCAATCAGGTGCCAATGTTAAGACTTCCTGTGATTTGTTTTATCTGGAATCTTAATTACAAACCTTTTTCTTGGTGTTCAGTTATCTCATGATTCTTGGGAAGCTTTCATAAACATATATTAAATTAGAGTAATCTTTAACAGTGTGTATTGCTGTTAGTATTGGTAGTCCTTGTTTTAATAATGTTTTATTGCTAAATATATGAATATTAGCTTTAATGTACATGAATTGAAAAATAGATTATTCAAGCGAATAGAAATATAGGTGATAGTCTAGCCATCCTAGATCCAATCGATTATCAAAGAACATTGTTGTAAATCAAGATTTTAGCTTGTGTTTTGCAGGATTTGGTGCTTTTAGAAATCCCCATCTAACCTCTGGCAAATAAATGAATCCTGGCTTTTGTCTTTTAGTCTATAAGGTGAAGTAAAACTTTAGTCATGTGGGTTTAAAATGGAAAAATTGACCTCTGTACTCTGATAGACTGGGATTTAATAATTTTTAGTACCTGTTTTATGAATATAAAATGTTATAAATTATCTACTGACTCAGTTTGATTTTAGTAGTTTTCCCACGTAGAATCTTTTCACTGCTTTGAAAGTCTATATAGCACATTCATGTCAGAGTATAATCATTTTTGTGTAGCAGTGAATGTGGAAAAACCTAGATTTTCCTGCCAACTTTTGAAAGTTATTTCTGTGTGAGGGGGGAGATGAGCTTATTTCTGACTTGTGGAACTGCAAGTTCCTGTTTCATGATAAAGGAAACGCTTTGCAGATCTTCTGATCAGTACCAGTTCCGAAGCAGCAGGGCTTACGTACCTGAGGTTAGAAGGGATTGTTGTCATGGACATCCAAAGAGTTGTTCTTGAGCACGTCAGAAGCTCATTGAAAGTAACCACAGAATTCCTCAAATGTAATTTGTCTTTTATTATATTTGTTAATGCAAGTCTGAAATCCTGAAGGGGTTAGTACCATGTTTTGAGCCAATACTGTTAACGAAATTCAAGGGAAAAAGTGATATGAAGGATTTCATGTCAGGTTTTGTGTGCTGAACTGACTCAACTTTACAGAAATGCAACTATTTTCAGAATGGGAAGGGGTATAGATGGTGAAAAATGTTGATTCCGAATGGTAAAAACGTAACGTCTTCTCAGAGAGTAAATTGAATGGAATTCTGTCATTAGACTTCGTTGTGAACAAAATATCGGAATAAGCTAAGCCTTACTGATTGAGTATTACACGAATTACAGCAAATTGCAGAGAAGTCTGTAAGTCTCACGATAATACTATGATACTTTGTGTTTGGGGACTTGTCATTTTCTTATTTCAAAGCGTGGTTTTGAAACATCCCTTTTCAAACTCTTCATCACTTTGAAACTCTTTGAGCTGGCTATTAGGATATTAGTGAGAATCTGGACTTTAGGCAAAATTAATTGTACGAATACTTTGGAACTTTAAAAACATACATAGTTGCCGTCCTTAATTAACATAATTCATAACATTTGGTAGTTTTTTCTTCTGTGTGATAGCATGATTTTGACAAATGTAGCCAAATGGACCTATTGGTTCTGTATATAAACGTATAATCAGTGCTTTTGGTATACCACGTGTGCACAAGATTTTTCTCCTTAACCTAGCATTTTGATCTGAGACAGCTTTTATCCCATGTTGTGTTGTTTTCCCTCAACATCTGTTTGGCAAGAGTCAGAGCTACTGCAATGAAACCTGCATGTATGTAGCCTCACAAATACAAAACACGCAACATATGTTGCATGGGGAAAAATAAAGCCCAAACCTGACAAAGTCAATGGATGTTATTGCAAGAGTTCTTTCAATGTAATATGCTTTGTGTTACTAGGAGTAAGTGGCAACTGCTTAGCTTGCAATTTCTAAATGTTAGTGAAAATGACATTAATTTAATTTTCTTAGCTTGCTACTTAGATCACACTCAATAATGGTGAAGGATTTTGCTAACAATCCTGATTAAGGACTTTGGAGAAAAAAGCGTGTAAAAGACACAACAGCGCCAATCCTGTTGCCCAGGCACACATCACCGTAATGTGCCTGGAGGTGTGGAGTGAGAGCTTCCTATTGGGATGAAATCTGCTGTGGATGGATAAAGCTTTGAGAATTGGGACACTCTGGTCTCCTAAAGAGACTGCAGAAGTGTGCCAAGGGGTTTGTGTTGATTTTGTTGGGATTTGGACTAGATTCTGTGAGAGCTGAACGAAGCCTCTCTATCAATCTGTGTTAGGAATGGAGGATCATGCAGAATCCCAGCAGTTTGTTGGCATGGGCTGCTGAAGTGGGAGATGTAGGTGCTCCTTTCCAACTTTTCCACTGGAGGCACTTGGTGGGAGCTTATGTCTCGCTTTTCTCTCAGTCCCACACTGCTGTCTACATCAGCCAAGTCTGTGTTAAGCATTTTTCCCTGCAGGGATACTAGAAAGCATTAAATAAGACAAGTCACTGTATTGGCTTCTATTCCTTCAACTTTGCACCTTGCTTCCTGTGAAACGTCAGTGCTACAGGAATTCAGTGCAGTTTAGCACCGTTGTAATTACTGGCCTTGGCCAAGCTGCCTAATTAATGGTACAGCCTAAGTAAAGATTATCTCTGTAAGCCTTTTCGAACACCTCCCCCCACCTCCTTTAGGGAAGTGCTTACAGTGTTGATGATAAAAAGTAGAAAGCGGTTTACTCGTGATGTTTCTGAGGTTTTAAGAGGACTGAAGTTGTCAGAGGTGCCTGGAAGGGGGAAAAGAGTCACCACAAAAGAAGGAAGACTTTTCCTTACCTTGCACTTTGCATTTTGCATGCTGACGAAAATTAGGATGGATCTTATTAATAGCATTCAGTAAGCAAATCTAACATTTTAGGTGTGTGAATATTAAATTTACTCAGATATACATTTATGAGAGAATAACCTACTCCACGGTATGAGCAGAGTCGGAGCTGGTAAAACAGATGTAGTTCTGGAGAGATCGCTGAGCTCATAGGAAACCATCAGTATTGTATGTATTTGTGCCGTGAATACAGCTTCAGTTTTCTATGAAAAGCTTTTAGTTCAGCTTTGGTGTAGCTTAGCTCCCACAAGCCTTCAGGGTGAATATGAAAAGGGCATAAATCCAATATCCAAGAGAGCCCAGGTGGAAGCTGAGATACAGAATACCTCGGGCACTGTTTAAAATTATATCCATAACCAGTAGAATTTACCAGTGCAACACAGATGGACAGAGCATTTATAGGCTGACAGTGGACTGTCTCCTGGGATAGCTAGGGGACGCTCCGTGCCAAGGTTGAGTTCTTGGAGCCTTTTTAGAGAGCATGTCAGGAGGGCAAAACTGGAAAGTAGGCATCTGTGCTTTGAGTCCATGGTCTTGCTCACTGAGGAATGTGTCTGCAGCTCTGAAATATAATTGTTAGTCCTGTTTCCAAAAGTGATGAATGCGCTTAGATGTGGAAGTCTCTAAAGTTTGTACTAAATGCTTAAGGTCATAAGAGGCAGGCTTTCAAAAATACAGAAACATGTAACAATTTTGCTAAGCACACTGGTGAAATCTCAGAAGCAGACAAGCCCAATATTTCAATTAAACCCGACATTTTCAAGCTACTTCTCAACATGGGATTCAGATTTCTAATATCACTTAAGTGCTTTTGGAAATATGGCTCATTTTTCCTTCCAGCTGTGTATGAAAAGGGGGATACTAAAGCGGTGTATCTTTATCCTATAGCGTTGTGTCTGCCAGATGCAGGTTAGCTCTCTGATGGTCGTTACCTCAGAACTGAATTATTTAGCTGATTTATTTTTATAATGAGTGGATTGATTTATTTTTCTTTCCCACCCCATGCCACCAAATTAAAGATGAGGGTGCCCTTTGTGGTTTGTAGTGTCTCCTCTGCCTACTGGGTCATTTTTCTTCTTGCCCTACCTTGAGGACACTTCAGTTTTGTGCAAACTGAACTTTGGTGAATGTTTTCAGTTAAGGTTTGAGGTGAATATTACTAACAAAATCCAAATGTACAAGGCAATGAAAGCAGGAAATATAGCAGTAATATGGTCTCATCACAGGTCTCTAAGATTATAATAACCAGTGCTATCTGGTTTTGCACGTTTTTTTCTTAAAGAGAATATATTCTGTTCCTGTTTAACAGTGCTGAGGATTTTGAAAGGGGAAATAGGAAAGGTGATTGTTTTATATAAAATTATTTCAATTTTGTTGATTCAAAACCCTATAAAGATGAAACAATCCTAATTTGTTTGAAAAATGTGGGCCTATCATAAATTTTTAGGAAGTTGTCCTTTTGGGGGTTGACTTCTGTAAATTAAACTGATAAAGAGTCACATTGAATAGTAAGAGTAAAAAAAAAATTGACAGTTGTGATGTTGATAATTCTAGCTCTACTTTTCCAGATAAGTTAATTCTCTCAAACACTATTTTTTTTAAATTCGTATGGCCTTATTCTGATTTACTCTGTAATTCCTTTCAACAATTGTATGTCTTGATTGCTGTCAGAATCACAGTCCTCTTGAACACATTTTTGTATGGTTAAGGCTAGAGGGGGTGACAGATGGAAGAGTCTTTGCTTTTCATCCGGTCTATAGAGCAGCTTCTGTGCTTCGACTCTGCTTTTTATCCTGTATGTTCTTACTCAAATGCTTTCTTCACTATCTTTCCCCCCCGCCTTCAAGCAATAGGGAGGTTTAAATCCCTTCGTAATACGTCTAGTTGTAAGTAACTGTCCTTTGGAGGCATATCTCTTCCTTCTTCCAGCTGGTAATATCACCCGCAGAATCTCCTAAATCCATCTCTGGCAAGAATTGATTTGTCACTAGTGCCTGGCGCTGTCCATAACTTAAGCTTATTCTTCAAAGGGATTTGAAGAAGAGCAGCAGCTCTCCTGTGTGGTCATGGCCGAAGAAACAAAAGTGCCTGTGCAGTCAGAAAATGAGTTTACTCCTTTTTTT